CGACAGGTGCACGCTACAAGCTGCATCGTCTGTCAAGGGAGAAAGGATTACCCTGCCTCTCTTGGGGAGACTCGTGCCCATGTTGTGTGAACAACTCTGCACGAGCACCTAAGGAGGCTTACCTCCTTACCAGCCCGTGGTGGCGCGTACGTATCTCTACTGAGATGTACGAAGGGATTGACAACCTGAAATCCCTTTACGACCGTGCCGGGAAGACTTTCTCCGGCGGTCCTTCTGCGGCACAGGATGTGCCGCGTCGTACTGCTCGACCAGACCCAGTACGTCAACCATCAGTTGGGAGCGGGGCTCCCAAGTATCCCAGGACGGGGGATAACCGCGCCATTGGACGAGGTAACTCGTCCGACATCCGTTCACATCGCGGTGGTTCAACAGCTGCTCAAACAGATAGCGCTGGCCACCGTGAGAGTCCTCTAATGGAGGTGGAGGAGGAGGAAAAACGCTCTCTAAACTATCGCGGGGAAGCGTGTGTCCCCGAGAGCTTCTTTGATCGCGTAACGCAAGGGTTACGCGGCGATCTCGAGCATGAGCGGGACAGGCGTCTCCAACTGACGGACACTGTCTTGAAGCATCGAGCTGAGTTTGCTCAGCTTGAGAACGAGAGAGCTTTGACGTCTCTGCGTGACGAGCTAAGGGTAGCTCGTGGAGATATTGACCGGTCTAAGGCTGAGAAAACTGCTCTTCAGACCTTTTTCGATATCCACCAACGGGAGCACAAGGCCCTCTGTGAGATGCTTAAGTGCAAGGGCGTTCTTCATCGGAAGAAACAGCGTACTGATGGTACGGCTTAAGCCGACCAACGAAAAACGTGGGATGCGTTCGCATCTTACGTGGCAACTCGATCGTGTATGCATTGCCTAGGCGATGCGATACACGAAATGGGCCGATGTACTTGGGTAGTAGTTTACTAATACCCAAGTTAGTCACTACATGCTTTGGTAGATTAACCGTAGACAGTAGGACTAAGTCACCTTGATTAAATAAAAGAGTGTTTGCCCTTCCATTCATGTCTGCGTTTTGCTTTTGCTTATCCACCGCTTCGGCGATGGAGTCTTGCACAAAACGGACTAACGTTTCACGAGCCAGTATGAACTCATCTGATGACTCGTTAGCTTTAGTGCGCTGTGAGTGCACTGCAGCGACATCAATCTTTTCTTCAGTGAGGGCTTCCTCGCTCTAACAGGCATCATCTTCTTTTATGTCGATGTTTTCTTCGGCATCAAACGCAATGACCTCTTCGTCAGAGCGTAATGAGCGTGAACCAAATCAGTTTTTGCTCGCGCGAGTCTCTCCCCCCCCTGAAACCAGAGTTACACTCTGGTAAGGTGGGTACACGCGGATGGCGCAAGCCATTCACGTAAAACGGTGTATGTGTCGTGGACGCATGCACCGAGTTGTTAATGGCAAACTCTACCATTGGCAAAGACTCACTCCGAATTCTTAAAGGAGTGTACGTATCCTCGAAGTATCTCTTCAAGGACACGATTGGCTCGTTCCGTCAGACCATCTGACTCTGGATGATCAGATGTCGACATCTTCAAGCGCGTTCCGAGTAATTTGAACACGGAGCGCCAGAAATCAGCTGTGAAGCGCAGATCTCTGTCTGATACGAGTTCATGGGGCAACCCATGAAGTCGGAAGATGGTGTCGATAAAGGCACAAGCACAGCCACTTGCTGTGATTGACACTTGTACAGCCACTAGGTGTACCATTTTGCTGAATCTGTCAACAAATACGAGAACACCCGTATTCCCGCGTGCGTCTTTGGGTAACCCGAAGACGAAATCCATTGAGATGGATTCCCAGCACTCAGCCGGAACTGGTAGAGGCTGTAAAGGTGCACGCAGTGAAGGACTTAATTTCACTCGTTGAAAGACTTCGCATGCGCGAACGTACTTTCGCACAAACTGATACTTGCGGGGCCAGTAAAAGTCTCGACTCACCGTGAGACATGTTTTCTCACGGCCACGATGTCCTCCTATAGGAGCATCGTGATACTCGAACATGATCCGCAAACGCAGCTCAGTATCATCTGGGATAGCAACACGTGGTGTGTCACCAGTAACGGATGTATAATACAGTTAACCGTTGCGAGTAGTGTATCAATCTGATGCAGATCGATACGCAGACGATAATCGTTTCAACGATTATCGAGATGGTTGTGAGAGATGTGTCGACAACTTCACAATATCACCATCTTGGGCATACGCCCGCCTCACATCATCATGCAACGTTGAAGATGGTATTGAGGACGTCATTACCGTAACAGTGGCTGTCTTACTGTTGGGTTTCACGACTGGTTCAAAGTCGGGCCGACGTGAGAGTGCATCAGCGACGACATTAATTCGTCCTGGTTTGTACTCTACCGTAAAGTTGTATTCTACAAAGTATGACAAACACCGCGCCATTCGTTGTGAAAGGTGCGGGCTGTTCACTGCCGTGCGTAAGGACGCATGGTCAGTGTAAACAACGAAGGGTCTATCTCCTAATAGATAGACTCTGAACTTCGCGAGTGCATACTTCATGGCAAGGAGTTCCTTGTCATGCACTGGATAGTTCCGCTCAGCTGGTTGCAGCTGACGCGACTGATAGCAGACGACGCGTTCAACGCCTTCAAGGTCGTACTGCATTAATGCACAGCCGATTGCGAAATCGCTGGCATCACAGACCACATGAAATGGCCTGTCCTGATCGGCTATTGCTAGGACTGGGGATTGTATCAAGCTCTGCTTGATACCCTCAAAGGAGCGTTGACATTCAGCGTTCCATAACCACCTCTCGTTCTTTTTCAACAAACGAGAGAGGTGTACAGTCATCTCGGCGTAATTGCGTGAATACTTGTGCAAATACGCCGCTAGCGCAAGGAAATTTCGAATTCCTTTGACATCAACTCGAACAGGCCAGTCGGTGATTGCCTTGATCTTTTCGAGATCAGGACGTACACCGTTCTTACCAACGATGCACCCAAGAAGTGGTATTTCGCTTGCTGCAAATATACACTTCTTGAGGTTTGCATACAATTGATGCTTTCGCATGATTGTAAGAACCTGTCGGACGTGGTACCTGTGAACCTCAACGTCCGACTTTCCATCCATAGCCCGACTATGGATGAATACGTCATCGAAATAACTCGGCGCGAATTCTCGTACTGGTCTCAACAGATGTGATACACATCTGTTGAACGTGGCAGGGGCATAACTAAGCCCCTGTGGCATCACGAGCCATTCCCAGAGCATTCCGCTAGGCGTGCTAACTGCGGTATAGGGTATATCCCGTTCTCGCATAAGGATTTGATAGAAGCCACCCATCAAATCCATGGACGAAAAGATGGTACTCTTTGACATACCATCAATGATTACGTCCTTCCTCGGTATCGGCGTCTGAGCCGGTACCGTTGCAGCATTCAACTTGTTAAATGCATGCACTATCCGCCACCCTCCTGTTGCTTTTCGCACACAGAAGGTCTGAGAGCTATGTAGGGAAGTTGATTCCCTCACATGGCCCGCAGCTAAACGATCGGCAAAGAACTTGTCGATCGCAAGTACTTGTTCACGAGGCAGTGGCCACTGCTTCATGACATAGTACTTCGAGCCTGGTTTAAGCTCGACCTCGTGTCGAATACCTTTATCCTTCGGCAATTCGCACGGAACAGTTTCAGGGAATACATCCTTGAATTCAACCAAATCTTCATAGAGAGGATTTGTCTTGAGCGATTCCCACGATTGGGAGTCATATCGCTCAATCTCGTGTATTTTCATCTAGGACACTCTCGTCCACAGATGAACTACTGAGAACTCTCTCGTTCTCAGTGAACACTGTTGCTGACCTAATGTCGGCTACACACTCGTCGTCAGCGACGAGTATGCAGATCTGCTTGACTTTGCCACTACGCAGATCATGCAAGAACCTTTTATATTCGAGCGTTGGCAACTGAGTGATCTCCGAAGTCAACTTCGGAGGCGCAATCAGATCAAGTGTATAAGCGCCTACATTTGATCCATCATTGACTAGGACATTCAATGTATCTGTCATTTCCTGGGGACTCATTCCCTCAGGCCTCGAAGGATTTATTCCTTCGGCTTCCCGGGGACTTATTCCCGCGGGTTTCGGGGAACTTATTTCCGCCGTATTTGTAAAATCGGGACCTATTCCTTTAACTTCCTCTAGCTGTGGTTGCGCAACAGCGAGATCCTCTACGAAAGACTCTCCAGTCGATCTATGATGATCGTTTCGCTTAACCTGAGCGATCGATGGTTTCTCTTCTAGATGTTCCCCGCTACGGATACATCTTTGTCGCGGTCCACTCGACTTATTCGAGTGGTGGACCTTCGGCGCAGCCTGTGTTACCTCACAGCTGCCGGAATCTTCCTCCGAAGTGTAACTATTTGTTACACTAAGGTTTTGTGCAGTCGTACTAACGACCGTACCACAAGTGAGGCCATCGCACTCACTCGTAGTACATCCACACGCTTGTGGACGCTCCAAAACGTTCATCAGATGGCCATCTGATGAACAAGCGGCAGGCATCGTTACTGTTCGATGTTGCCAATTTACCCGTGGTTCGTACCTTCTGAGCCACGGTATTCCAAGGATGACATCAAATTTGTCATCCAAATCCAATACGATAAAGTCATCGTCATATTGGGTATCTTCTAGCGTATAGTGAATCTTCACTATACGATTCATGACGGTTACGGATGCGCCTGTCGCAAGACGTACCGTCATCCTCGTAGGAGGTGTGTCACATTCACTGAATTTAAAGTGACCATCTTCTAGCGATTGGCGTCGCACAAAATTGTTGGACGCCCCAAAATCGACTAGAGCTCGAAGGGACAACGTATTCGTCACTTCGAGTTTCAAGGTAATGAGTGAGATCATATTACCTAGAGCAGCAACGCACAACGTTTGTGTGTTGGGAGCAACCTTCATCAAGAGGCCTACAAATTCTCTTGACGTTGCTGGAACAGTAGGGTGCTCCGCACCTACTGATCCTGTCCGTTTTTTGACGGTCCATCCCGTTGTTGCGTCTTTGCACCAACAGCGGACCCGCGTCCCTGCCCCTTTCTCATGGGTGGACGGTCACTACGCCCAGTGTTGCGAGACACTGGACGAGGGGCACTACACTCGTAAGCGTAGTGTCCTGTCTTTTGACATCTGTTGCATCTCTGCAACTTCTTGTAGCCTGTAGAGCGAGCCTTCTCGCTCTCTACATAACAGAGTTCCATTGGCTCTGGACCTCCGTTGTCATATCGTCTCGGTTGACGATATGATGTCGAGCTGGCGCGAGCCTGTCTCAGACTGAAGTCTTCCTGTTCCGCAATGGAAATGGCTTGTTCTAGTGAATCTAGTTCAAGTCGAAACAGGTGAGTTTTGACGGGACCATCCGCAAGACCCTGCATGAACACCGAAATCAACGTGTGTTCATCCACCGGGTTGGAACTTGTACAACTCGTGAGATGTCGTATATGTTGCGCGTAAGCGTGCACATCACGCTTACCTTGTTTGAGCTTCAAGAGTTCAGTTCGAGCTCTGAACTCAGTTTTAGGCGGCCCAAACGTTTGTCTGAGCAGCGACTTGAAGACTTCTAACGACCCAAACGCATATGGGTCGTGCAACTTGAGTCCCAAAGCCCAAGTCTTGGCACGTTCTGTCGGATTTGATTGGGCAAATGCAACTTGCATATCCCCGTCGTCGATGCGACGCGCCCTTATGGCGTCGTCTAATTCGATGAACCATCTCAAGAGGGAGTCCTCTTCGACTCCTCTATACTTGGAGATGTCAATCTTCAAGGTCTCGGGTCGACGCGAGTGCATCGACCCGCCAGCAGCAGCCTGCTGCTGTCTCAACAGTTTAAACTGTTGAGCACCCTGTTCTCTCAACAACTCTGCTTGTTGAGAACCTTGTTGGTGAAGCAAGGCTACTTTCTCGCGTTCGGCGTCAAGTTCATTTTGAATGAACTTGGCGATAGTAGCATGTTAGGCATCTCTATTGATAGCCTCTAGCATGACGCTAACAGTATGGATGCCCATGGTTGAACCCATCCATTCAACCGCATCCCATTCGACATCGCTCAAATGGGAGTAGCCGTCACGCGTAGCGTGAAAGCTTTGGTCATCATCATCATCCAACATATTCATGTTAGATGTGAACGTGGTCCTTGGACGGACTACGAAGTGCTACCATGTGTAACGGGGCACCCTGAAGCTTGTACTGATGACAGTGCAATCTACTTATTCTGATGACAGAATAAGGCGGTGCCTCGTAACTTCACGTACACTCGTACGTGCAGAGGAAGACGGTAAGAAGAAGCGAGTACTTGATTAAAGTAAAAAGTAGAACTGTATTTATCATAATTAATGTCTGCAATAAATCACTATTTATCTTCATCTACCTATGTCTGAATACAAATGTGCATATCAACTATCTGCTCACCACTCATCGCGTGCGTCTGTCGTGACGCGTCTTCGTTGTTTGATATAATGGCCTATATCAACCAATTAGGAACTACTCGTAAGTGCTACAGAATATTTGTCCTTATGACAATGTTCTGAGAGTATAACTCTTTTAGTTATATTCTATTAACAATTTCTTATAAATTGCAATGTAACGATTCACCCCGTTACAAAGATCTCGTGCGGTTGCGTTAAAGTGTCGTGGATGGGATAGGCTGTGTTCGGTCGGCAGTTTGTGTCTCCTGTACACTTGCGGTACTCTCTGCGAGTGAAGCTCGTAGAAGTTAGGCGTGTGCCGGATTAGGAGAACATCTCCTAAATTAAATCTTTCTCGAGGGTGCTGATCATGTTGGCGCGCGGATGCATCCTGGGTCCTCTGAGGGGGTGTTGCCCGACCTAGCTGTGGAAGCACTTTTCGAGTCTGTCTCGATGTTCAGCTGTCGTGTGCCAAAAGAGGACCACGTCTTTCAGAACTCACCTTGCACGCGTCTGTAAGTTTGTTTCTAGCTACTTCCGAACCGTTAGTGGAGCAATGGTTGCCGTTATTAAAGCTTCGCTGTGTGTGGCTCCGCGATGAGAGCGGAAACCTCTTCCGTGGCCCATACATATGGATGTATGAGCTTTCTTAAGGACATGTAGGCAAAAATAATTCCTGGGCACCGAGTTCTGGATTCCCCTCGTCTTTACAATACGACAATTTAGGCCAAGTCTTCGTTTAAGACCCATTCTGGTTGCGTTTGTTGCCAACTTACCAGATATCTTATTGCACGGAGGCCCGAGACCTTAATCCCGATCGTGACAGTGGTTCTGACACCACCTTTGACGTATGGCTCGATCCGGAGAGACGAGACGACGGGAGTTTCCGTTTCATTATCACGACGGACGGCACAACACACAGCTCACACCTTTTCTGCCTCTTCGTGGGACGAGGCACCGCTCATTCTTTGACTGTGGACTGTAGGGACATATCAAGTCTGTAAATTGGGTCCTCACCCGGCCTTACTTTGAGCGGTGGAGGTTAGAATACCCCGAGGACATTTAACGCGTTCCAGAGCTCATTACAAACATGCGGCCTTAGCTCAGGCCAGGCGGATCGGGCTGCAAAAGGACAAACAACGACAAGTAGCCTGGTCGGGCGATAGTATGCGGTTAGGGTAGGTAGGATATGAACACTATTTTTTAGGCAAGACTTCGACACATTACTGGTGGCACTGTTTGGGTAGAACAGCTATGGCACCGCATTTAGCTGAAAGCCACTTCCATCTGAGACTCGCAAAGACAGGTGCCGGTGTGCCCCTTGTCGAAGTGCCTACACAAATACGTGACCTACTCGCACCAATGGTGGGACTGTGCAGCAGCGCATACTCCATGGCGGGTCTTTGCATAACCGTGGGGTCGGCTAGGCTTAGTGGACCCGGTTGAGGACTCACAAGCCTTATTCAGCCTCAGTTTATCTCGGATACCCTGGGGTATTTGGAATTACGTGAGGCGCTAATATGGTCACTTACCATCGGATCGGAGGCAAGGAATACATAGCTAATGTTTTGTTATATAAGCGGACTATCGCGTACTTGGTGTGACGCACACCCTGCAAGCCAAACGGGCTCGTCGCTGCAGATGCAGAGATAATGCCGTGGACAACTCTTTCTTTTGGGCGAAGGCAATTCTTTTGGGCCGTTTAAGGCAGGGATACCTGATACTTCGTGACTTTACCATACAGAAAACTTCTCATGTCGATATCCGAGCGGCGGCTGATGTGGGTTGCACAGCGTTCGAGGCCACTGTGACAGATGACGTGTCACGATTGTCTCCGCTAGCCGAGGACAGCTCCGCTCTGCTCTTCTTTGGTAGTATGTTTTGTGGTAATCCCGGCCTGGGTGGTGCGGGCGATATTGTAGTTACGAACTATACGTCTTCATACTAGGCCTGAGTGCGTTAGATGTCGTATTCCTCGCAGCCACCAATAAAACAAACTTCGCGGCAGAATACAAGGCCATCTTTTTTGGCTTTTTAAAACGCTGGAGCACCGTCTTTCATGACAACACGTCGTAAGGAACAGCGAACTGATACTAAAACAACTACGATGCAGGAAGCTGCCGCAGGCTAAACATCTCCTAGGCCTGTACAGGCAATGTAGATTGTTAGGGGACCGATTGGGCGTGGCCACGTGGACTCATCACCTTCGACAATGTAACAAGATGGCAAACGCCCTAGCGAACTTCGCGATGGACTCAGGACGCAGCATAAAGGTTCTCGGTCCTGAAGTGGCAACGCTGCAATTCAAATGGGCGGTCGTTACAAGCTATTAATTTAGCGACCTGGGGCAATGGCTTGACACGCTATGGGACGCGGCTGGATAAGCCGATAAACAGGGAGACAACCCTCGGTTTGCAACCGTAGGTTGCTTTTGATAACCCTATTGGTAGTTATCACAGCGGTAGGGGATGTGTATGCCCCTACCGGACGGGCATCTTTGGGTCGTTAGTGTCTTTAAATGACTGTAGTGCACCGGGAAAAATGAGCGCTGCGTTAAGAAATGTCACAATTTACGATGATTTAGTAGTCTAATAGAACAAACACATTCAGTAAATAGGGTATCTAGTGCATACAATCAGTGAACATTAGCGTAAATTTAAGGTTTACCTTCAAACGTTTTAGTTGCTTTTGCTCGTGTGCCTTGCAACAAGTTATATTATACAAGCGTGCAGACGACTGTTTCCACTTGCTGGATAGTTTGGCAGTAGATATAACTTATTCGACGTAATAAAATCTTTCTTGTAATACACATTAGTGCTATCAGCTAAATGGGCAATAAGCGAGCGCTTTTCTGGTGTGTCCTCATGCAGTATCCGTTTCACGTCCTATTCATAACGCTCTTAATTTTTACAATACTACGTAAAGAAATTCCTGGCATCATCAAGGATTCAATTCACTTGAATTAAGCTCAAAACGATCCATTTCTTCATTTTGTCAACTAAAGAAAAAATTTAAATTAAATTGATGAGAAACAGCTTGACACATTTATTTACACATAAATAAATGTAAACTAAAGTTTTCGTTAATTGAGTGACATTGTCTATTCCTTTTTGTCTAATAACATAAAATTAACAGATAAACGAGCCTTAAACACGTAACTTGTAGTGTCACAACCTATTACTATAACCAGATGAGCTTCATTTTCTTTATCACAGTGATTACACTAATTCAAAGTTTTAAAAATAGACTTATGTACATACATAGTAAATGTCAATAAGCTTGAATTAAAGCTGCAGCAAAGTCAAAGCCTACTAGTAAAAATACAATATCTTACAAATAAGTGTGCAGCAAAACTAAAACAATAAATTTACCAAGCAAAATCTGCAATTTTTTTACGTAAAAAAAGACCAGCTAACATTGCAAAAACAGACAGGTAGAATTCTAATACGAATACACTAAAAAAAATGATTAGGGGAAACGTTATTACCCCACAGGTTTTCGTTCACCACCCACCAATCCTCTTTATAACCGTTATTTATTCAATCTTAACCTTTTAATTGATATATTTGCATACACCACATTTCTCAAATATATGTTTTATTTCATTCACTAACGATAAATTAGTGGATCTGAATATTGATACGCATGTCATTAAGTAAGCTACGTGTGGTAATTTGTTATTTAGATACTTCCTTCGCAACTAACAAAATTTAAGTAGCAAGAAGTTGCGGCAACCGACAATGAAGACACTGTGCGAAAAAGTATAGTGCGCTCACCAGGTCGTATTGGAAATTCATAACATCTAATAACCTCACGTCATTTAATTAAATCACAGCACGGAGAAGGGGAGAGCAAGAAGAAGCCAATTCAAGATTCCAGTGCACGTTTCATAAAAGATGAAAGTGTTGTCGGAAAGTGACAGAAGTATCTGTGGGTTGCTCATGTGGTTCGCCACAAATCGGAAACTCTAAGGCGGCACTCTGGTATGTGACTGCACGCCCTTGATTATTACAAAAGCTTTTAAGTGGGTTACACCTCACGTCAATAAAGCCACACACCCTGTCGTCTAGGATCGCTGATGTGGTGCAGGATTCGAGAAGTGTGAATCCGAAAATTTACTATCAGTAACAAAGACGAGCGAGAGGGTCAAAACTGTATTTAAGTAATAGGTCAGCAGGACTACGCCACTCACAAGGTTTTCGTAAGCCACTCACCACCCCTTGAATGTAAAAAAAATTGCTATAATACCAGGTGAGCGCACTTTAATCATGTCGAATATTGTCCCCATTGTCAGTTGGCACAACCTCTTGCTACCCAAATTTTAGTGCGTTGTAAAGGAAGCAGCTGATTGATAAATTACCACACGTCGCTGACTGAAAGACAAG